GAACCACTGCTCTAGCCTAAAAGTAAGTCAAGGTGAAGCAAAAGCAGTTGGTGCAAACTCACTAGGATGCAGAAATTCAGGAAGTGTTGAAATGGATGGGCAAGAAGATTACCTTCCATAAACAAGGTCGAGTCATATAGGTACATCACGCTGTTCTTAAATGGACAACTAAGAAAACCAAAACTGAGAAACTGGAACGCTCTCCTTGGCTGTCCTGTATTTTTTCTCTAGGCGTGCTGTGCTTTGTCATTCATGACAAACTGGATGAGGGAGAAAGGGTAGGTTGGAGCCTTAAAAATGGACCAAAGAGATTTTTCAGAGCCTCGCTACTCTTCTATTAGAGATTGACTACTTCATCACACTGGAGAATGAATCCACTTAAAATCCGTTTTCTGCCTCCTACAGAATTCTGGGGATTGTAGTTTAGGGAGGAGTCTTTAACAGCCTCACTAAAGTACAAAACTCAGAATTCTGCAGGAGGCAGAAACTGGATTTAAAGACTGACCAATATTGCCAATAATATCTTGAAGATTTAACATCTGTAGCCCTCAGAAAAGCATTTACAGCTCTGCACTTTCAAACAATGCAATCAGGCTGGTTAGAGGGAAGATATAGAGGGATCCCTCATGCCCAACGTCTTTGTATTTGTGGGTCTGGGAAAAGAGAGGATTTAACACACTATCTGTTACATTGCCCACTGTATAATGACCCTCGAAACAATCTTGTATATTGTATGTTGTTGTTGTTGTAGGCGGCCTTAGCCTTTGTAAGCCGCATCGAGTCCTTCGGGAGATTTTGCAGGGTATAAATAAAGATAATAATAATAATAATAATAATAATAATAATAATAATAATAATAATAACAATCTTCTGGGAGCCCTTTTGGAAGAAAGGGCAGCATGGCAACAGTCAGCAGTTATCGGTGACTTCTTAGCAGATTATTCCAAAAAATATAACATTAAAGGTTGCCACATTTGCAGTCGCAGCCCACAAAATCCAAGACGAAACTAGTAAAGCCCATAGCAGAAGCTAGAAATGGAAATATTTTGGGATGATACAAATCAGACATTTGTAATTGTTATCATGCCACTACTATAATTTTAAAGAGCCAGTATACGGAACATGTTTTAATGTTTATATTGGAAAATGCTTATTGTAGTTTCTTTTATCCATTACATGTAGCTTGCCCATTGTTATTGTGATCGTGTTTATTGTAATCTTATATTGCTATGTTTTCATTTGTTTTATGTAATTATGTAATTATTGTTTATTATTTGCATTTTCGGTTTTATTTTATGCAATTGTTGTTTGGGCTTGGCCTCATGTAAGCTGCACCGAGTCCCCATCGGGGAAATGGTGGCGGGGTACAAATAAGGTTATATTGCTATGTTTTCATTTGTTTTATGTAATTATGTTATTGTTGTTTATTATTTGCGTTTTCGGTTTTATTTTATGTAATTGTTGTTTGGGCTTGGCCTCATGTAAGCTGCACCAAGTCCCCATCAGGGAGATGGTGGCGGGGTACAAATAAAGTTTATTATTATTATTAGTTTTAAAGGTTGTATATTTTATATCATGGTCAATGGCTAGTACAATAAACAATTCAATTTGAAACTGGATTCATTCTCTAGTGTGATGAGGTCCTGAGCTGTCAAGGTGCTTAACTTTGGGGGAGTGTGTATGTATACACACACACACACACACACACACAGGCCAAGGGTATAAGGTTGTATCTTTTATGTCATGGCCAATGGCTAGTACAATAAACAATTCAATTCGAAACTGGATGTAAAGTGGATTCATTCTCTAGTGTGATGAGGTCGTGAGCTGTCAAGCTGCTTAACTTTGGGTGTGTGTGTGTGTATGCATGCACGCACGCACGCACACACACACACACACACACACACACACACACACACACACACACAGGCCAAGGGTATAAGGTTGTATCTTTTATGTCATGGCTAGTACAATAAACAATTCAATTCGAAACCGGATTTAAAGTGGATTCATTCTCTAGTGTGATGAGGTCCTGAGCTGTCAAGGTGCTTAACTTTGGGGGAGTGTGTGTGTATGTGTGTGTATATTTGTGTGTATGTGCATGCACACACACACACACACACACATATAAACTGGTCAAGGGTATGGGGTTGTATGTGGGCACGTTCCTGCAAATATTAATTTTGCTTGCCTTCCCCAATGAAATCTTTCCATCCCCAAATTTCTAGCAATGCAGTCACTCAAAGCTTCCACTGACCATTCAGAAATACACTTTAAGAATCCCCTTCAAAAGGGGTCGGCAATGTTACAAAGGGAATGCAAGCACACGCTGCAATGTTAGAAAGGAAGGCTTTAATGCAGGCATGGGCAAACTTAAGCTTAAGCGGCTGAGGGGGGAAAGGAAGGGACCTGAGGCTGCTAGGAATGGTGGGAGTTGGAGTCCAAAACATCTGGATGGCCAAAGTTTGCCCATGCCTGCTTTAAGGGGAGATGACATAACATTGGGAGGAGGGAATGCCCTAATTTTGCTCCCCTCTTTTGTCAGCACCACGATAGTGATGCCATTTAGAAGAAACCAAAGTATCACTAGTGCAACAGTGAAGAAGGACATGAGCCCAACAGAAGCAAAGGAAAGGATTAAGTCAGTTGATGGTTGGCACAGATAATAATCCAGGTCACCTTTCCGAGAATGCCTTGGCTCAGAGACCATCTTCCTCTGGAAGCCAGGCATATCAGAAACAGGCAGCATGGAGTTGGCACCTCTCTTCTTGTGTTGCCACTGCTGCCTTCTCCATCCACAAGTATGGTGAAAATGCAATGACTAACCCAATGGTTCTCAACCTGTGGGTCATCACGTGTTTTGGTCAACAACTCCCAGAAAGCCAAGCCAGTTTACCAGCTGTTAGGACAGTGGTTCTCAACCTGGGGTCCCCAGATGTTTTTGGCCTTCAACTCCCAGAAATACTAACAGCTGGTAAACTGGCTAGGATTTCTGGGAGTTGTAGGCCAAAAACATCTGGGGACCCCAGGTTGAGAACCACTGTGTTAGGATTTCTGGGAGTTGGAAGGCCAAAACATCTGGAGACCCACAAGTTGAAAACCATTGGACTAGCACAGTGGTTCTCAACCTGTGGGTCCCCAGAGGTTTTGGCCTCCAACTCCCAGAAATCCTAATAGCTGGTCATCTGGCTGGGATTTCTGGGAGTTGTAGGCCACAACACCTGGGGACCCACAAGTTGAAAACTATTGGACTAGCACAACATCACTATGGGATCCAGAGCAATATTTACCCCTCACCGAGTATTCTTCTATACATTAAACTGGCCATAAGATACAAGTTAAGTTCCCCTTCTATCATAAGCATGCTCCATATTAGAGGAGATATTCCAATGATGGGGCCATTGCTCTTTGTATACATAGCCCCAAAGTTATACCAAAATATCCATATATTTTTTGTCAAAGGCTTTCATGGCCGGAATCACTGGGTTGCTGTGAGTTTTCTGGGCTGTATGGCTATGTTCCAAAAGCATTCTCTCCTGACATTTTGCCCACATTTATGGCTGGCATCTTCAGAAGTTGTGAAACTAAGCAAAGGAGGTTTATATATCTGTGAAAGCTCCAGAGTGAGAGAAAGAACTCTATTCTGTTGGAAGCAAAGGATTCCCCCAGGCAGGAATCAGCCAGAGGTTTTGTGATGCAAATCAAAGTGATTAATTGCAACATTCACACTTGCCTCCAACAGACAAGAGTTCTTTACTCCCACTCTGGACATTATTCCACAGATATATAAACCTCACTTGCCTAGTTTCCAACAGACCTCACAACCTCTGAGGATGCCTGCCATATATGTGGGAGAAATGTCAGGAGAGAATGCTTCTGGAAAACTCACAGCTATCCATATTTTGTCCCATTCCCAATAAAACCTGCACAACAGAATTGTGTAAATTGGACCAGATGGGTTTTACAACCCAGACAGAGGGGGTAACATTAAGAGCAATTCATTATAACTGCAAAAAAGAGAAAGGAGAAAGTCTTTGCAAAGGCAAAAGAACAGCAGCAAGGTGAGCCTGATTTGGCAGGAAGAGTTTCAAAAGATGCAAACTTTACCACCTGCTGATAAAGGTAAGGGCATCTTCAGAAGCAACATAAATTCAAAGGCCCTTTTGAGTTATAAGGCTTCTAGTCTGTCCCCTTGGGGCACACGCAACTCAAGACTGTTCCTCAGACACACACCGTTAAGTCATATGAGCTCTGCTGCATAGCCCATCCTCTGCTTTTGAAATTAGATTTGCTTGAAACATATTGATCAAAAAGATCACATCCAGAATACGGGAGATACTGACACGATTAAATACCTACTTCAGGGAGGTACAATAAAGATATCATAGTGGGTTGCTGTGAGTTTTCCTGACTGTATGGCCATGTTCCAGAAGCATTCTTTCCTGACGCTTCGCCTATATCTATGGCAGGCATCCTCAGAAGTTGTGAGATTTGTTGGAAACTAGTCAAGCGAGGTTTGTGTACCTGTGAAATATTATCCAGGGTGGGAGAAAGAACTCTTGTCTGTTGGAGGCAAGTGTGAATATTGCAAGTGATTGGTACTGCAAAGCCTTGCAGCTTCAAGGCATGGCTGATTCCTGCCTGAGGGAATCCTTTTCCTCAGACTTCTTTCTCCCACCCTGGATCTTCCAGATATATAAGCCTCCCTTGCTTAGGCTGTTGTAGGTTTTTTCGGGCTATATGGCCACGGTCTAGAGGCATTCTCTCCTGACGTTTCGCCTGCATCTATGCAACTTCAGGAAAGAATGCCTCTAGACCATGGCTATATAGCCCAAAAAAACCTACAACAACCCAGTGATTCCGGCCATGAAAGCCTTCGACAATACACTCCCTTGCTTAGTTTTCAATATACCTCACAACCCCTTAGGATGCCTGCCATAGACATGGGAGAAACGTCAGGAGAGAATGCTTCTGGAATATGGCCATACAGCCCGGAAAACTCACAGCAAGTCAGTGATTCTGGCCATGAAACCTTTGACAACACAAAGATGTGATAACCTTGGGGGAAAGGGACATTGCTGTACATACAGCACACTTCGTTGCACACAAGGTGCAATTTTGATCGAGGATCATACCTTCCCTTTCACTGGATTTCCTCACCACATTTCCAGTTTGGGAAGAGAACACCCACAGAATGCAAAGCGCTTCCAAGTATCCTTAGCATCAACAGCCCATTCCATACATCCAATTAAGCCAATCAATCAGATTAAATCAGCTTCCATCCAAGAATTTTGGATTCAGCAATTTGCTTATCTGCCACACAGAAATAAACACAACATTATGAGTCAAGTTGCAGACCTCAAGTGGACCAGGGGACGGGAGAAAGGCATAAAAGCAGACCTTCTCCTATGAAATGTAGACCTACATTCTCCCACCCATCCATCCCCCTTTGTGATGCCATTCACCCAAAGTGAAATAGCACACGGTAGGAAGTTGACCAGCATCTCTCGTAACAAAAGAACTGTTCGCTCAAACCACCAGCGACTTCACAAGGCCACAGTGGAATTTGCGGATGTGTCTGTACAAGTCGCCCGACTGGGTGAACCGTCTCTCGCACCACTTGCAGCCGTGGGGCTTCTCCCGGGTGTGGACCACCGCATGGCGGCTAAGGTTGTGGGAGTACTGGAAGCTCTTCCCGCACTGGCCACAGGTGTACGGCTTCTCGCCCGAATGAGTCCTCTCGTGTCTTTTTAAGGTGTACATGCAGGAGAAAGTCTTGCCGCAAAGCGTGCAAGTGGGCACCGATCCATCGGGGGAGAGTCTGGTCCTGGAGCCGTCCTTGTCGCGGAAGTGAGAGCTGAGGTGCAGCTGGAGGACATGTGGGTTCGGAAAGACCTTGCTGCAGAGCGGGCAAATGCAGATGTGGCCCGGGGGCACAAGGACACCCGAGGACGAAATGTCAGAGGAATCCATGTCATCCTCGCTGGCCTCCCGCTCTTGATCTCCATCTTCCTCTGGCATGTGAGAATCGCCGTTCCCCACAAACACACTTCCTAACCCTGTCATCAAACTCTTGGCCGAATTCTCAAAATGCTGACTCTCCGGACTCCTTGCCTCCTCATCCGACAGAGACTCCGGCTCATCTTTAATCAGGGGCTTGCTACCCTCCTCCTGCTGCTGCTCCTCCTTCTCCTCCTCCTGCGGCTGGCCGTCGGAAGCCAGCTGTCCAAAGATGTAGGAGGGGTGGAAGGAATCTCTCCCCACCACAGGCTTGAAAGACAGATCCAATGCACACTCAACATCACTGGGAGTCAAAGGGTGGTTGAGAGAGCTTTGGGACAAAGGTCCCACCAAACCACTGACATTAGCTCTTGTTTTCCCAGCTGCCGCGGTGTCCGATTCTGCCTCAGTTAACACAGAGCCAACGCTTACAAGTTCAGAGGACCAATCCGGGTAGCTGCCAGTCTTCTTTTTCCCCGCTGCCAATCTGTCATATTCCGCCGCGGTTAATTTTTGCTTATTATCCGGACCGAGCTCATGCCCCAAGGGCATTCCACCGTCCGAGCCCGGCACATCCAAATGCACAGCCCTACCGTTCATTTTCTCATCCCCGCACAATTCCTTATCTTTCAGCTTGCCCTTGCAGACTTTCACAATGTCGTACATGTGAAGGTAGCTGGCCGCAGCCAGCACATCTTCGACTGGGAGGCTGTTGAACTCCAGCTTGCCTTCGTACATGAATTCAAGCAGCAAGCCGAAGGCTGGGGCTGTGACAATGTCACTGTTCAGATGCACAATGTCCCTTTTGTCTAGCTGGTCCCTGTAGAAAAGATGGAAGTACATGCTGCAAGAGGCGAGGACGGCTCTGTGGGCTCGGAACTGAGCGTCTCCAACTAAAACAGTACAGTCACACAGGAAGCCCTGGTGACGTTGCTGACTCAGACACTGCAGTAACTGCCGGCTATGGTCTGGGAACTCCATTCTTCCTTCATAACCTGTTCAAAACAGGAAAAACTTGAATGCTACCATAAACCACAGGGCTTCTAAGCAGCTGTTAACAAGCAAACAGATTTAGCTTTGGGGGGTAACTGGAGCCTGGGAGATAACCGTTCAACTGCACACATTGTCTGCAATTTTTTACTTTCCTTCCTTTTAAATGTCGCCCCACACCAGAACACCTGCTCCGGGAAAAAGAAGGGGGGGAGCAGGAAAAAAATAAAATCTGAAAGTAAACTAAAGCTTCTAAGGAAGTAATGCTTGCAAGCCTTCTCTTAGTAATGCTCAAAGGGGTGGGGGACTTTGGAGAGTTTTATGCATTCCTGGAAATCTTAACTTCAGGGCGACACTGTGGAGACTTCAATAAAAACAAGTGTGTTTTGGCCACCCCCACCTTCACCCTCTCTTCCCGGAGGTACGCAAAAAAACATAGCACACTGCTGTTTATACACATGCTTGCCCCTTCCAAAAGAAAGGGCACCAAACCAGTTTCAGACTGGGTTTCTGTGAGTTTTCCAGGCTGTATGGCCATATTCCAGAAGCACTCTCTCCTGACGTTTCGCCCACATCTATGGCAGGCTTCCTCAGAGGTTGAGGGGTCTGTTGGAAACAAAACTCTTGCTTGCAACAGACAAGAGTTCTTTCTCCCATCCTGGATATTATTCCACAGATATATATGTATAATCCACTGATATATATATACATACATACATACACAATCAGGGCCAGCTGTTACCTCCCAACAAATGATTCCCTCAGGCAGGAAGCAGCCAGGCTTTGAAGCTGCAAGGCTCTTCAATGCTAATCAAAGTGGTCAATTGCAACATTCACACTTGCCTCAAACAGACAAGAGTTCTTTCTCCCACCCTGGACATTCCACAGATATATAAACCTCACTCGCCTAGTTTCCAACAGACCTCTCAACCTGTGGTGATGCCTGCCATAGATGTGGGTGAAACGTCAGGAGTGAATGCTTCTGGAAAATGGCCATGCAGCCCAGAAAACTCACAGCAACCCAGTGATTCTGGCCATGAAAGCCTTCAACAACACACTTTCAACACACTTTCACACAGACACTTGAAAATCCAAGAGATGACCAAGGAAAGTATGAAAACACATGCTGGAAAAATAGAAGTACTTCATATATAGTTACATACACGCGTGCACACACACTCCACTACCTTGCAGTCGAACTCTAGGATAAGGAAAGCTTTGGAGACACCCTTACCTTGAACAGCTGGAAAACATGAGGAGGGGGAAAAGATCCAAGCCAAGCAAAACCCCAAAAGTTGTGGAAGAACTCCAGCTTTTTTTGTTTGTGTGTATGTATGTGTGTGTTTGGCTTTGTTTTGCAGCGAGGTGCCTGGGAAGAGAAGGGGCTTTTCCCAGCCAGGAGGGATGGGAAGGAGGCTTCTCTGTGTGTGGATTTGGGGGGGGGGGGAGAGAGAAGAAAAAGAGGGAGTGCGAGAAAGAAAGAGAGAGAAGGGGAGAGAGAGCCGTATGGGAGGGAGGGGAAGGAGGGGAGGGAGTGCTCCGTTTGCTAATTACACCGCAAGCTGGAGAGTCAGCTGCTCTGACTTCACTGCGATGGAAATGCTACCTCCAGCTGTGCCCTTTTTAATGCCATATGTTACTTCAAATCTCGCTACCAGCCAACCACAGCTTGCTGCCTTTTAAAGTCCCACCAAGCAAGCCCCCCTCTCCAATATTTATAGCCATCGATTAAGCCTCCCAACTTCAGCCGAGAGCCTCTCTCCTCCCTTCCTTGTCCCCAACCAATCCTTCCCTCCACTCACTTTGAGAAAGTCGCTGAAATAAATAACCAATCTGATTACTAGTTGCTCTTAATGGAGGACTTGGAGGCTTGACCTTTGGAGAGAGAGAGAGAGAGAAAGGCAAGGGGAACAGGCAGGAGCCGCAGAAGCAGCGAACAAGGAAGAAGTTCCCAAGTTTTGCAAACTTTGCTTGCTTTCTCCTCCCCCTTTCCCCCCCCCCCGCAGGATCGTGAATTCCTTCGGATGCTCTCCTTTCCTCACCCCAAAATGTACACTCCGGGACCCTCTTTTCCTTTCCCACTCACACAACTTTGCAAGCCAACCCCCCAACCGCCCTTTGCGTCCCCCCTTTTGTGCTCTTGGATCTCCAACAAAACAGACCCAAACGTCTCCAAGAGCGAAACTCGGTGCGCAAAGCTCCAACCGTTGGGACAGCTCGGAAGAAAAGGGGTTTTAGGGCAGCACCCCCAAAACTAAAAGACTCCCATTGTTGGGGAAAGGGGGGATCAAGGCTTTGCAAGCATAGACACACACACAGAGACACTTACCAGCCAACCCGGTTCTTGTTGTTTGGAGACCTGCATGGGCTCCACTCTTGGCTGCGCCTTAGCCAGATGTGAGTGCGGGCGCCTGGCTTGCTCCGGGTTTCTTGTTGCTGGCAACCCAGCGGAGGCACTCCTGTGTATGTGTGTGTGTTGTAGAGCAGGTTGTTAGCCAGGGCTGGCTCTCGCGATACTTCCCCCCCCCCTTTCTTGCACAGAGAGAGAAAGAGAGAGAGAGTGATTCTGTGCGCTTTTCTTCCCAGGGCGCACACAAGAGCGCAACCAAGGACGCCAACCAAACTCGTCGCGTTTGCTGGTCGGATTGGCAAGCGAAACGATTTTCGCATTAGGGGGAAAGAGGGTGGGAAGGCTCCTTTTCTTTCGGGCTGTCTCTTTGCCTCTTTCTGGGGTTGCTTTTTTTTGGCTCAGTCGCTTTCCACGCCAATGTTTTCTTCGTGCGCTTCTTCTCTCCTTGATCCCAGCTCTCCGGCGTTTTGGCGCAGTGAGACTTTTGGGGTGCCTTTCAGCACTTCCACGCGGCTTGAACTCCCAGGGCTCGGTGCTGTGGGATCTTGGGAGTTGTAGTTTGGAGAGGCACCCGTACTCTTTGGCGGAGGAGGCAGAAGGGCTTGGAAAACCACAGTTGCATGGTTGGAGATGCGTAATAACTTCATTTGGTTTGGCTCAGGCATGGGCAAACTTGGACTTTTCCTTCAGGTGTTTTGGAGTTCAACTCCCACCATTCCTAACAGCCTCAGGCCCCTGGGGCTGTTAGGAATGGTGGAAGTTGAACTCCAAAACACCTGGGCAGCCCAAGTTTGCCCATACTTGGTATGGAGTCTCCACTTCTGAGCTGGCTTCCTTTCACAGTGGTCTGATAGGGAGCCTTTTGCATCTCAGTACAGGTTTGATTTTTTTTTTTACCTTTTTAGACTTTGCAAAAAAGGAGGGGGGGATTAGGTTGTTCTTGCCTCCAGAAAAAAAAAACCCAAAATATTAGGAGCACTAGTCCTCATTCTCATAATTAGATATGTGCCATGAACTAGAGAAAGCCAATCCTCTGTGCACCATTTATGTCTTTTGGTGCACAAATGCTTCTTCTGAGAGCTGTATTTTTTTCAACATAGAGGGCAAATTAGTCTGTCATTCCTCCAGGAAAAAAACCCCAAAACATTAGGAACTCTAGTTCTCATTCTCTTGATTAGATACATGCCATGAACTAGAGAAAGTTACTCCACTGTACACCATTTATTAGGACTCAGTGTTGTGGGATCCTGGGAGTTGTAGTTTGGAGAGTTCCCTGGCAGAGGAGGCAGAAAGTCTTGGAAAACCACAGTTGCATGGCTGGAGATTTGTAATAACTTGATTTGGTTTGGCTCGGGCATGGGCAAACTTGGGCTTTCCCTTCAGGTGTTTTGGAGTTCAACTCCCACCATTCCTAACAGCCTCAGACCCCTTCCTTTTCCCCCTCAGCCGCTTAAGGAAGGGGCCTGAGGCTGTTAGGAATGGTGGGAGTTGAACTCCAAAACACCTGGACAGCCCAAGTTTGCCCATACTTGGTATGGAGTCTTCACTTCTGAGCTGGCTTCCTCAATATACCTGTTCCTTTCACAGTGGTCTGGTAGAGAGCCTTCTGCATCTCAGGTCAGKTTTGTTTGTTTTTACATTTTAGACTTTGCAAAAAAAAAAAGGGGKGGGATTCTTCTTTGGAAGCTTTTAAACAGAGGCTGGATGGCCATCTGTCAGTGGTGATTTAAATGCATTATTCCTGCTTCTTGGCAGGGGGTTGGACTGGATGGCCCATGAGGTCTCTTCCAACTCTTTGATTCTATGATTTTATGATTAGGCWGTTCTTGCCTCCAGAAAAAAACCCAAAATATTAGGAGCGCTAGTCCTCATTCTCATAATTAGATATGTGCCATGAACTAGAGAAAGCCAATCCTCTGTGCACCATTTATGTCTTTTGGTGCACAAATGCTTCTACTGAGAGCTATACTTTTTTACTACATAGAGGACAAATCAATCTGTTCATTCCTCCAGAAAAAAACCCAAAACATTAGGAACTCTAGTTCTCATTCTCTTGATTAGATACATGCCATCAACTAGAGAAAGTTACTCCACTTTTTTTTCTTTTTTTTTTCCTTTTTGTCGTGTCAGGAGCGACCTGAGAAACTGCAAGTCACTCCTGTTGTGTACTCCACTGTACACCATTTATTAGGACTCAGTGCTGTGGGATCCTGGGAGTTGTAGTTTGGAGAGTTACCTGCACTCTTTGGCAGAGGAGGCAGAAAGTCTTGGAAAACCACAGTTGCGTGGTTGGAGATGCGTAATAACTTGATTTGGTTTGGCTGAGGCATGGGCAAACTTGGGCTTTCCCTCCAGGTGTTTTGGACTTCAACTCCCACCATTCCTAACAGCCTCAGGCCCCTTCCTTTTCCCCCTCAGCTGCTTAAGCTTAGGGGGAAAAGGAAGCGGCCTGAGGCTGTTAGGAATGGTGGGAGTTGGAGCCCAAAACACCTGGAGAGAAGACCCAAGTTTGCCCATGCCTGATTTAGCTGCATTCAGTGGAGCCGTTGCAACAAAACATTTGGAGAAATGAGGTTTCTGTTTCTTCTTTGGCTGCATGCAACCCTTGCAATCAAAAACAACGTTAATCAAGTTTGGTTTGGCTACGTGCAAAAACTATCTCCGAGGGGCACCCTAAATCCCAGACCAAACAAAGGTGGTGTTCCTAGTTTTGGAGAAACTTTGTTTGCAAACACTACGGGGAGGAGTTGTGGAGAAGCAGAAGCCTCTCTCGCTGCCTTCAAAGGAACAGCAAGGAGATGTGCAAGAAAGGGATAGAGGGGACTTTGGGAGTTTTCAGTTTTCAAGGTTTCTTAGGATGCATCTACATCACGCGTGTGAAACTCCAGGCATGTGGAGTTTGTCCTACTTTGGTGTCATTTTGTGTGGACTGAAACCCCCGTATTCCTCATCATTAGACCTCTTGACAAGAGCTGATGGCAGTTGTGTTTCAGTGACATCTGGAAGTTGGGTGTTGGTTGTTTAGTCTGGAGGGTGGGGTTTGGATTGAGTTCCAAGGCTTGTGGATAGGATGCCTGACTTCGAAATGGCCTTTAACCTTTTCCCAATCTCAGAGTCACAAGTGTTGTCTGGATGCAATTCCCATTATCCTAACCACATGGTGGATAAGCAAAAGTGATGGGAGTGTCCTTCAGTAACATCTTGAAATCCCAATTGGGTATAAACAAAAGAGCACCAATCATTATGCAAAAAATTAATAGTTGGCCCTCTGTATTCACAGATTCTCCATGGATTCAACGGCCCTTTGAAGGCACCCATAAGGATAATGTGACCCTTGATGAAAAAGAGTTTGACACCTCTGATCTAATCCAGTTTGTCCCCAATTTAATCGCCATGGCTCAGTGCTATGGAATAATGGAAGTTCTAGTTTTACCATCTCTGCCAAAGAATGTGGGTGCATCACCAAGCTACAAGTCTCAAGATTCTATAGCATTGAGTGATGGCTATTAAAGTGCAGTCAAACTGCATTAATTTGACATACAGATTCACCTTAATATAGCCATTATATGACATGAAGGGCTGGATTTGGGCCACAGAGCTTGTATTTGATACATGTGGTATAGTACCCTAGGACTGCAGAACAATGCCTCACTCTGAGAACTAAAGGTGCATCTACATCAGGTATCCTCAAACTGTGGCCCTCCAGGTGTTTGGGACTCCCAACTCCCAGGATTCCTGACCATTGAACAAGCTGGCTAGGGCTTCTGGGATTTGGAGTCCCAAACAGTTGGAGGGTTGCAGTTTGAGAATGCCTGATCTACACTGTAGATCAGTGGTTCCCAACCTTTGGTCCTCCAGGTGTTTGGACTTCAACTCCCAGAAATTCTAGTTGTTAGGAACTGCAGGAGTTGAAGTCCAAAACATCTGGAGGACCAAAGGTTGGGAAACCACTGCTGTAGACCTAATGTAGGTTGATAACAGTTCAACTGCTAGGGTTCAGTGCTGTGAAATCATGAGAAAGAAAGATTGTGCCTTGCTGAGCTACAGATCCCGGGATTCCA